GAGTAATGAATTTCTGAGACCCAAGAGTGTAGACCTGAATAGGTTAATGTATAGAATGCCTGCACTGGGAATATGTTCCACTGTAGAACTGTTTTGTTACTGACATTAATGTTAATGGACTCTATAATTCTCTGTAACACACACACACACTCGCTTCCCTCACGTCCTCCCCACAGAAAAAGCCATAATGTAATCAGCGCTGATGCATTGCTGAGGAGGCTCCGTCTGTTTTATGACTACCAGCCCCGAAGCTTTCCAAGTGAGATACAGCTTCTCGCCTGGGAACTGATTGGCTTCAATGTCAGTGTTACAATGAATGGAAACTGAAAAAGAACCGAGGCACCTTGCCTTACAAACAATGAAAGCCAAAGAAGACTTCAGAGGGAAGAGGCAAGAGGAAAAAAAATGGTCCTTATAGAAAAATAAAAAATCTGTAAAGGGGAGACGTGTGTTTCTATATGGGGATTTATTTAATTAAAGTGATTGGAGAAATGTGTTTTAAAACTAAATTTGAAACATGTAGTTTTTAGGAAAGCATGAGGAAGAAAAGTTTCCCACTGCCTAACTAGACATACTTCCTATCAGTAAGTAGTTGATAAGCAGGGCCGTTTTAACAACATTATAGGCACCTAGGCAAAACGCTGCACTGTGACCCTGCCTGCACAAACACACACAGGAATAAAAATGTAAATTATGAGAAAAATGAAGCTTATATTTTTTTGGTACCTCCAACAAAATCCGTTTTAAACATTAAGAAAACATGCTGGGATGACCCCCACGAAGTGGGACCAGACTTGGTACACCTAGCAACCCTGGAGTGGGAACTGGAGCAGGATTACAAACACCTGTTCCACTCCATTGAGGATACCCAGCAGGAGAGCATCGTGGCAGACCCAGGTCCAGAGCCCTTCAGCTGTGAGGATTTCGTTGAGGTTTACTGGGAGGACCTCCAGCCGGCAAGTAGAGATGGGACCAAGATCTCTCCACTGGCCCCACAGGGAGAGGAGAGCAGCGTCCTCCCTCCCCAGCGGCAGGGTGAGTTACAGGGAGTAGGGACTGTCGGTCCTGCTCCCCAGCGGCAGTGTGAATTGCAAGGAATAGAGAGCCTTGTCTCCTTTCCCCAGCGGAAGTTTGAATTGCAGGGAGTGGAGAGCATCGTCTCCCCTCCCCAGCGGCAGTATCCCTTGCAGGGAATGGAGAGCATCGTCTCCCTTCCCCAGCGGCAGAGGGAATTTCAGGGAATGGAGAGCATCGTCTCCTTTCCCAGCGGCAATGTGGATAATATAAATGTTCAACTTTTGATACACCTAGGCATACTGAAGATCTCCGACTTATGGTGATTTAGATCAAAGCAAACTTTGATTATTTGTCTATCTATTCCTTCCAAATTGATTAATTAATTGCATGCACGCTCTTCCTAGAAGTAATTCACACTGGAGACAAAGTTTCTGATTAGTGAAAAACCTGAGGAATGCTTTATTCCACTGAGTGGGAGCCCCTTTTAAAGCAGAAATACATCATGTACAGAGTCACAGTTAACATACAGTATACATTCAACAATTGGTTAACAGTCTAAGGGGTCTTGTCTAAACCTACCCTACAGGATGTAATGTCATCATTACAGAGTTCTCCCACCCACATTTCAGCTCCATCTTGGTTACACGATGGGAGGGGGAGTGAGTAGTTACTGAACAGAGAGGGGCTGAAGGGGAAACAGTTACTTTAACAGCGATTCTCCATTTTGTTACACGTGGCACATAGCTGTTAGTTGCACAAAGGAAGTGGGGGATGAGTTAGTAAAGGAAGCTGTTTAACACAGGAATTTGTTACACGAGGCTTGCTTGATGGGAAGGGGGAGGGTAGCCGGGTGGGAGGAATTTACAGAGGAAATAGTTAATAGACATTTTATCCATTCAAGTATTTTGTCCATAACAATGGCATGGATCTAAACCCATCCCATTTACACAAATGCAAGTAAAATATAATCTTGCCCCCAGGGATCTTTTTCAATATTTAAGGATTAAAATTTTTCTATTATCTAGAACTGTACTCAAGGACCATAATGTTAATCCTCTTATAGTACTTTATAAAAAGAAGGGAGGAATTTCTAGATTTATTAAATTGCTAGAATCAATGGAACAAGACTCTCATGCTACCGCCTTTACTAAATGGGAACAAGATATTGGGGAATCCTTTCCACTTCTGGAATGGACTAAAGCTACACACCTAGTAAAGCACTGTATGCATAGTGTCTCTCTCTACGAAACACATCTAAAGATAATATATAGATGGTATATGGTACCGGCTAGACTATAAAATATCATCTGCCTATTATAGGAATTGTTGGAGATGTGGAAATGAGGAGGGCACTATACATCATATATGGTGGGAATGTCAGGGGCTTAAAAGCGTAAAAATCCAAATGCTTGGTCTTGTTAACTCTATTTTCAAAGGGATAAAATAAACTAGCCCTCTACTTTTCCTTTTTAATATTGGTTTTCCTTCACAAGACAAATTTCAAAAATATCTTTTGACCCATATTTTTTTTGCCATTAAAATATGCATAGCTAGGGCCTGGAAATCTTCCATCCTATTATCATGGTATAATATTACAGAGCAAATAGACTATCAGCATAGGATGGAATCAAACCCTTTCTATGGTACTAGGAATCTGGTCAAACTATGGTTACCCTGGACAAATAGACATTATATAAGTCAATAAGATTGTGATATTTTAAAGCCCCATGTCAAGCCTCAGGAACTTCTTCTTATTTTTTTTTTATATATTTATTTTTAAATTGATTATGTTTACCAGCTATATTGTGGAAAATCCTTTGTATGAGCTTCTTAATAATGGCTGGTTATCAAGCAAGTATAGAGTGTGATTGTAAGACATACCGTGTACATACATAACTGATGGTTTCCACTGAATATTGCATTCCATATAGAAATCTTAGGTATTTAATGCTATATAATACCACTATTGATATATACCGTATTTTTCGCTCCATAAGACGCACTTTTTTTCCCCTCAAAAGTGAGGGGAAATGTCTGTGCGTCTTATGGAGCGAATGTGAAGAATTACTTACCTGTCTTGGAGCGTGGGCCGGCTTCACAGCGCGCTCCACGGCCAGGAACTTCTATTTCAGGTTCCGGTTTCCGGCGGGACTGAAAGGAAGTGCACACTCAGTGTGCACACTTCCTTTCAGTCCCGCCGGAAACCGGAACCTGAAATAGAAGTTCCTGCACCGAGGAGCGCGCTGTGAAGCCGGCCCACGCTCCAAGACAGGTAAGTAATTATGGGACAAGGGGAGGGGGACACTATGGGAGAAAGGGAGGGGGAGACACTATGGGACAAGGGGAGGGGGACACACTATGGGACAAGGGGAGGGGGACACTATGGGACAAGGGGAGGGGGGGACACTATGGGACAAGGAGGGGGAGACACTATGGGACAAGGGCAGGGGGGGACACTATGGGAGGGAAAGTGCACTATGGGACAATGGGAGGGGGGACACTGTGGGGGAGAAGTGCACTATGGGACAATGGGAGGGGGGGACACTATGGGATCAGAACACTAATGGACAAGGGGAGGAGGGGTTAAAGAACACTATGGGACAGGGGAGAAAAAAAAATATTCTGAACAAACTGTCCCATGGTAAGAAACACTATGGAACAGTTTGTTCAGAATATTTTTTTTTCTGGGTTTCCTCCTCTAAAAACTAGGTGCGTCTTATGGTGAGGTGCGTCTTATGGAGCGAAAAATACGGTATATAGATGTGCCCATACTGATGTCAGAGTATAACTCTAGCCATTTAAGGACAAAACCCCCAATCGATATTCCAGAGTTCTCATACAAGAAAAATTTGTGACGTATAGATACCATCTGTTACTTATGTCAATCTAGACTTGCAATATTCTGCACAAATGCACAAATAACCCTGAATTAACCATTTTTGGTTATGGTATTGTTATGCCCATAAAAGTATCTGGATACATTCTTGGAAACAAAATATTAATTGCAAGCAATAACAGACGATAGATAGATAGATAGATAGATAGAGAAATAAGAGGCACAATTGCAAATAGCTGTGGATATTAGAGGAAATGAAGAAACAAGTCCATCAATTTAAATGACTTTGCAAGATTGTATATAGAGTCCATATAAAAAGTGTTTTTTTTGTGTGTTTTTTTAAAGAGGCAGAACAGCTATACAGGTTTTCTTTCAGGTTATGCAACTGATTATGTTTTTGTCCTCTAGAATGTGAATGTGCAGTCTATTCATCCTTATATATACAAGGTCCAAACACTATACTACTATAATACTGTACTGTACTATAGGTACATTGGTATATACCCTCATTTTCTCTGTTTTTAAGTAATTCTCCTTTGCTATCAGGAAGATTCCAAATTGCTAACAGCAGATTCCAAATTGGTTAACTGTAAATATGATATCCTCAGATGCCTCAGAGTTCATACAAGATGCGTCAATTCACCAGGTCATAATCTCAAGGGCATTAAACAATCATGAAGTGTCTTTACTGACAAGTAATTCTTAGAAACTCATTCCACAATACACAAAGTGACGCATGATCAGTCGTGTCCTTTACATGCATAAAAACAGACTTCAAAATATGACAAATATTCATTAGCAGCTTTGCCTCTATAAAAACATTTGTGTCTCTGAGAAATGTGTCCACAAGCTTCTAAGATTTACTACCCTCCAATATAGACCTCCCAGTTTTTTCCATTGGGGCAGTATAAGCGAGGCCTGAGCTGTATATTGAGGACATGTGCTAGTTTCATTATACTGCTGATGGTGTTTGGAGTTCTTGCACAGTCGACAAGTGCTAGAGTATCAGTGTAAATATCTGACAAGCATTGCTTCACTCATCTTTTCTCCTTACCCGTTGCATCTGCTCTACTCTTGTCATCTAGTTGTCATATTATACCCATTTAGGTACACTGAATTTGTTGATCTCAGACACTAGATACAACCTGCCCCCGGTTGCCATGCCTCCTCCCTCCCAGCTTTTGCTCAGCTGGTTACAGTAGAGGAGAAGTAGATCACAGCTTTTTATATAAGAAAAGACCAAATACCTGTGAAATGGATCTACTATTTAAGAGCAAAGTTTTATGGATAGCAGGCAATCTATGCACTTTTGCCTCACTACTTTGGCACCTATTGTGGAATGGAGTGAAACTAAAAAAGGACAAAAAGGGAGCTGAATCTGATGTTAAGGTAGTAGGGACACCTTGTGATGCTAATTTGAAATATGTTCAAATGTGTGTAAAATATTAACTATGAATATTAATCTGCTGTTTTTACATTGATATTAATATACGGGTGCAACTGTAACACACTGTTAGGTGTCAATAGGCAATTAATTACGTGACTCAGAAATGCAGAATAAATTTAGCCATCAGTCCAGAATTTAATATATTTAGACTGTTTAATGATACAAAGATATTCTTATTTTGCATGACAATATTGGCACTTATGCATAATAGGTTGGCTATTTTTGTTTAAGTTGCGCAATTTTGCTATTATTTTGATAGCATTAATTAACAATATAGAAATACAGAAATGTATATTTAGCAACGTAGGCATATTATGCGAAGTGAGGCCTGAAATTTCAGACAGTGTTGAAGGAAGAGTGTAAGTTCGCATACATTAATATAGTTTCTCTTGTGCTGTTCAATTTGCACGTTTTTCTTACACATAAATGTGTTTCTATAACTTCTGAAGAACTGAAGGTTTATGCTACTGATGCATGCTGAAGTGCATGTAAGTGGTAGATGCCATTAAGTAAATCCTGGTGTCTTAGCAGCAGTTTATGCTTGTTTTTTTAAATTATTTTTTTTAACATATTAATACCTAACCAGTCATTTAGAATTTATTAAAAATGAGGAGGAACACATTTTTGCACATACAGAGAATGATTAAGATCCCACATGGCCCTTGGAAAGTTTGGTTTAGTCCCCCCCCTTTCATTCTTCACGTGGGGATGGTGAACATAATCCCTCTCTAACCCCTGGGCCTTGTACAGCTGCCTAAAATGACCTTATGGATACTCCTGTCCAACTGCCTGTCTCTTTGTCTGTCTGTCTTCCTATCTATCTAGTTTTGTTTTTTTTATAATAGCAGATTGAGTATTCCAAGCTGGCTATAGTGAAGTTTTGATCTTCTTGGACATAACCCTAGAATAGCTAGTTATGTCAAAATGGGAAAAAAAACTATTTAAAAAAACAAAACATGATGACTTTTTTTTGTTCTGAAAATCATTGAGCAAATTATTATTTTAATTTACTCACAAATTCTTCCTGGTGTTTAATTTGCATACCTGTTATGCAAATAATTCTCAAAATATATGTATCTCAAGATTTTGGAAATATGACACAGGGAAAATTTCTGAAGACTCTCATAGGAGTTATTAAATCACTGCTTTTGTTCTTTAAATTTATCTGCTAAGAAATGATTATGCTATTTGTAACATATATCACTTTCTTGTAATATGGTGTAAAACTGCACAAAACCAGCAACCAAATGGAAGAAGCTGTTACAACTGTGAAAAACCATACCGTTTAACACTTGTGAGTTATAGTTTTAGTGATTTAGTAGTTGTAGAATTAAAACACCATTTAAATTAACATGGCACTCATTGGCCTTTACTGATCTGTTAGTATTTTTTAAATGACACTTGACATGCATTGCCATTTTTACTCACTTTTAAACCACACCATGCCAGTCTCTTTGTGGCTACCTGTCCACACTTTGCTGAGATTATTTATGAGGATGATCTCAGCCATTCCAGTGCTTCTTCATAGAGAGGCATTGGGGGCCCCTGTATGGTGAGTGTTCATCAGGACCATAATAAGAAGCACCTCTATTGCTTGTCTGAGTGACAGCTAAGAGAGAAATCCTTTGAGACATTGCCTTATCTCAAAAAATGGGCCAGGCCCTTTGCACCAAAACTACTACCTTACGCTGTAGCAGTTCTGGTGCTTAGAGTGCCCTTTTAATAAATAAGCAAGTCAACACTTTCATTACTGAGAAAAGATACATGGGCATGATTATTCATTAAACTGAGATTATGTAGAGACATACAAGGGAATTCCACATGCTAGACCAAAATATCTGAATTAGAAATAAATCTCCAGCTAAGGCCTCAATTTAATGCTATCCGCATAATAATAATTATTATTATTTAAATAATTGCCAGCTTTTTGTTGGCTTTTAATACTCAGATTTTTGCTGAATTTAAAGCCAGACAAAATTTAAACAGCTAAACCTGATAAATGAGTTGGCTTCTTGAAATAAAACCGCTGATAAATGTGCATTGGAAGCGCATTTATTGGTCTTTTTCAGTGACTAACTCTTTTAAATATGACCCCCATATTAGTCTATGGGAGGTTTAATGCCTCGGCTTACCATGCCACTGGTAGAGGCTTGTCAGAAAAGAATAAGCAGCCAACAACTAGCCAATTTTGGCTGCTGAGTTGCTAAAAAAATACAGATGGGACCTGGAGTATGTTCTTCTCCATGCCCCCATCTGTGGGCATCAGGTGAAAATTAAAAAATGGGGGATCAGCTTTAGGCAAATAAATATGAAAAGCAGGGAAACCCTAGTGGCCCTCCCAGCTCCCACCCATGAGTGACAGGTGGGTGCTAGTAATTAAATAATCGGGGGGTCATATAGTCCCCCCAGCCACCACCCATATGTGGCTAATAATTAAAAGAAATGGGGGACATCCTAGTGTCCCTTCCAGCGCCACCCATAGGCGATGCGGACTTATAAATAAAGTGGGCCTAGAGTCCATACCAGCCCTCACTCATGGGCAAGGAGTGGAGTTCGTAATTAATTAAAGGGGAACCTACCCATTTGTGTTAAGTGGAGGGCTATTTTAAAAGTATAGAGATGGTTTTCATGCTTTTACCCACCCCCTTGCTACCACCCATGGGCCTTTGGACTGGTGCAGGACTCCCAGCCACCACCTTCCCCTGAAAGAGCTGTGGTTAACCCCTTCCATGCTGTGCCTCTCTCTCTAGAGAGACAAACAATCCACCAGAAAGCCTCAGGGACTAACAGGAGACCCTTATGAGCACCTGATTAGGAGCTACTTGATGAAGCTCCATGTACCAGACACGCAACACTCATTGTTTGAGACCGGGACTTTCCACCCGGAGTGGAACTCTACGCCAGATCTGAGAGTGCTTGTGGCCCACCTTTGTGGACTAAATACCTTCTTGGTGCATAGCAATGGTTTGGGAAAAAAGTTAGTTGCCCTGCTGTCATAAAGTAATCTCAGTTGATCAAGTTATGTCTCAGACACCCACGCACCAGGATTGTGAAATATATTGCACAATCTAATTTTTTCTTGATGACCCCCTGTTGGGGACTCTTTTGTAAAAAAGCCACTGTCACTCAATAAAGTGTTCATGTTGTACTCTGCATCAAGCCTCAGCTGATCACTGGGAATACGTGTTATAATCATTCTGGGGCTTACTTGGTGGGGAAGGGAATCCCTGGCGGCATTACTCCACCTAACTAGTAGCAGTCCGTCACAGGTATAAATGACAATTAGGAGAGTGGAAATAGTCTCCCCTCCCCCCAGGGTTGCTATGAGCCCCAACCATGATTAAAATAATACTGCCTACTCCCGCATCCTAATAATAGTGAGTGGCACCCAATAAATAAAATCCTTTCGCAAAAACAAAGATGGAAAAAAAAATTGCAACATTGACAAAATTAACCAATCTTCACCCATGTAGGGCAATTTGCAGAATACGATTCGTGGCATGCAAAGCCTTTTGAGGGCTTTTCCACAGTGTGCAAGCACAGTCAGAGCACTCTGATTGGTTGACTTCTATATGCATCTATGTATGTGTGTGTGTATAAATATAATATATATATATATATCAGAAGCCAAGAAACTACTAATAAAACATATCAGCTCTAATTAAATAGAAGCCCAAGTTAGCATTTATTCTTGGCTTTTATTGCCTAAATTTTGCAATAACAATGCAATTATCCATAGATTCGTGATTTGTCACAATTATCTACCAACAAAACAGTACTCTCTAAATGGCTGTTGGTAAAGTAAGCAACTCTTGCCTGTTTCTATGCCACAAACTTAAAAGGACACTCTAAGCACAAAAAAAACAACTCTAGCTTAAAGGATCACTATAGTGTCAGGAAAACAAACAAGTTTTCCTGACACTATGTCATCCTTGGGGGACCCTCACCCTCAGGGTCCCCCTCCCGTGGCGCTGAAGGGGTTAAAACCCCTTCAGCAGCTTACCTTAAACCAGCACTGTGCTCCCTCAGTGCTGGTGACCTCTCCCCCCCGCCGATGTCCGCTCCCAAGTGGAGTGGAATGCGCATGTGCAGGAAGAGCCGCACACGCATTTAAACAGTCCAAAAGAAAGCATTTCTCAATGCTTTTCTTATGGGCGTTCTGCATGCTGGATGCGAATTTCGCATCCAGCGTCGCAGAAGCACCTCTAGCG